CTCCTGCCCGGGCTGGCTTTGAACCGCGATCCTCAGATCTCAGCCTCCTGAGTAGCTAGGATTACAGGCGTGAGCCACCGGTGCCCGGCCCCAGCCTCATTTTCTTGGAACACAGGTTGCTAACGTTCAAGGCTGAGGGCTGGCCTTATTTTTATATAAATACCTGCTTTGCAGCTTTCTTGGCCTCATGCTTCCTCTGGTTTTTCAGGGCTGTTTTTGACAGTGGTTTATCACTTCCTGGGTGTGGTTTCATGTTCTGGGGTGGTTCCTCTTCATGCTGTGGGAAAATTGAACACGAATCTTTGACAGACCACCTACTTCACAACTAATAACTATACAGTCCCCTTTAAATGGGACAGTCCTAGTTGACAGCTGTTGTAACATCATCAATAATACGGTTGCCCATTCTTGAGCACTTGAATTATTAATACCATCACAGAAAGAGAGGGCATGCATCAGTCCTCTGCCATGTTACTTCTGGTTTGTTTTGTGACACGGGGTCTCACTACCTACATGATCCGGGCTGGCCTTGATCTCCAGATCCTCGGGCCTCCAGTGCCCAGAAGCTGGGACTACAGGTGTGTGGCACCACGCCTGCTGAAAGGCTCACTTTTTGAGGTACAGGAGCATCGGACCAATCCTTTGGTTGCAACTTTAAAGGAAAAGTGGGGTGCTAACGGCAAATGTCTTGTTTGACCAATGGTGTTTTAAAAACAGAGCAATTTCACAGATCCACCATGTCTTGGGGAAAAAAAAGAACCAGGCATTTTGGCAAACTGCACTCAAGCCTTCCCCGGGAAGGGCCAGCCCCGCTGCCCAGCCGCTCCTCCCCGCCACCCTCCTCACCATGACTGCCGCGGTGTCCACCTGCCTCACAGGAGTGAGCTCAGGCATCTGCCCCAGAAGTTGAAAATGTGGCTCCTTTAGAGACACCTCTTCATCAGCTCAGCAACACGAGCGCTCACCAACCACCATCCTCAGCGGCAGATCCATAATAATTTCTACCCTACAGCTCATACTCTACACACACACTAAAGAGCACAAGCACATGACACAAGGGCCTAGAGAGCTCCATACAGAGGTTGTAAGACATTACTTACTAGTTTGGAATTGGTGACGGGTTTATTTCTTAAGGCTGGGGGTCTATACGCGGTGGCAACTTTGGGTTCTCCACTGGGGACTTCACTTGGAACTGCTTGGTAAGTGATTGCTTTTGCTGGAAATACGCCATCCAAAAACGGCTGCCAAGAAACCTGCCATAACTCTCCATTTGACGGCACCTCATGCTTGTATAAGACAGAGCCGGTATAATGCCAGATCTTATACCCGTTATTAACACGTAGCCTAGGAGCACATGTGGCTGTTAAAATGTGCTCACCATCTGGACACCAAGCAAAATACGTGGAATCAGAAGCCACTGGCTTAGAAATCAGTCTGTAGTTTTTCACATCCCACACTTCCATCTGTCCCCGCAGGTTTCCGAATCCGGCCAGGACCAGTATGTGCCCGTGAGGACTATAGCAGGCTGCGTTGCGAGGACCGGTTCCAAAGTCAAACACAGGGTCACACTTCAAGTTGAAAATGGTGGCTTTGGCAGGCATGAAACCATACACAGCACAAAACTCAGTGGAACTAGAATTCCAAACTACATCATAAATTGGGCCATTTTTTGCTAAAAAAGACCAAATTAGACATCCAAATTAGTAGTAAGTCGATGAATATACTATTTATCAACAGAAGCTATAAACCAGTGGAAAAAAAGTTAAATAGTGGGGAAGAAAAGCCTCCAAGAATTCCGAGGCCTATTACAATCATTCCTACACGATAATGCATGCAGACCCATGACTGCGGAATCTTAGCACCGCGAACGCTGAGCATACCAGTACTAGCTACGGTGACAGTTCGCCACTATTATAAAAAGCCTTTCCTGAGGTGGGGTCGCATTCAGTTGCCTTGGCTGTTTCTGACTCTGAGTTCACCTGCCAGGCTGAGCGTTAGGACAGGACTTCTGCACCGAGTAGCAATTTTCTTTTGGTAGAGGTTCTGTATGTTCATGGCAATAAATGAATACAAAGCATGTTCAATGGCATGCTACGAAACTAAGTCCTGCTGTCCAAAGGAAATCCTGTTACACTTCTAACTAATCCTTCCAGAACACTTTAGCTGAAAGAAAGCATCTGCTCTTGAATATGCATATAAACAACGAAGTCCTAGACCTGTGTGACTTCACTAACATACTACATACAGCGTGGAGAGATGTAAGCAGAAACACATGAAGATCTGCCTCTCTTTTTACTCTGTATCCCTTTGTGGGGCGTTTTTCCCATTGCGAGTGTGCTCAATTATCTGTAGGAGCAAAACTGTGGACAAAGGGATCGACATTCACTTGGTACTAAATCTCCAAACACCCTTTGAAGACGCTATACCAAAGTACACACCTCTCCACCATTCCTGATAGTCCAGGGTGCTCCAACCTCGCTCCCACACTGTAAAGCTCCATATTTTTATCTCTGACAGCCAACATGTCCTTGGTCTGGGCATGGTGGCACATACCGATAATCCAAGCTTCTCCTCAGTTAGACTGAGTAGGTATTTCAGCTACCTTTTTTCTGTTTCTGACTTCAATTGGAATACTGTTTTTTTATACAAATTTTTCCTAATTACCCATGTTAAATTCAAAATGGAGAAACTTTAGAACTATTAAAGTTAATTTAGCTTATCAAAACAAGACATGAAGGTGGGCGATGGTGGCTCACGCCTATAATCCTATTCAGGAGGCTGAAATCTGAGGGTTGTGGTTCAAAGCCAGCCCAGGCAGGAAAGTCCCTGTGAGACTCTTATCTCCAATTATCCACCAGAAAATCAGAAGTGGCGCTGTGGCTCAAGTGGTAGAGCTCAGGGACAGCACCCAGGCCCAGAGTTCAAGCCCCATGGCACAAAACAAAACAAAACACCTACCCAACCCCCAGAGCTGAAGTGGTAACTTTCTTGGATACTATTCACAACTCTGAAGACAACAGTAAACTCACGAGAGCACCTCACCACAAGGCAGTCCCCGGAGGCTGACTGCGAGCAGCCTGCCTCCCTCAGGAAGCTCCAGTCTACTGTCTACTACAGTGCTCGCGCAGCTCAAAGGGACACCTGGCGTCTGTCAGAACAGGGTGGGCCTGAAGGGATGAGGTCTCTGGTCCGAGATTTCACCGAGGCCGGGAGGTAGGCACGTAGGCTGTGTGACCTGTCTCATCTCTGGCATTTCGCCTTCCTGTCACTGTTTTGCTGACAGGAGTGTGGCTGAGTACTCACGTAACTGCACGACAGCGCTTTCTCCGTTGGTGGCGATGTAGTGCAGTGTCTGCTCTCCGTAGTAAGAAGCTCCTGTCTTGTCCACCTCTGTGCTAGCTATCACCAACACGGCAGTAGCTGCGACAGGAAACACTCTCATTAGATTCACAACAGTTTAGGCACTGGTACTGCTTTTGTGTGTGTGTGTGCGTGCGCGTGTGTGGGTGCACACATGTGCACGTGTGCCTCGGTCCCAGAGCTTGAACTCAGGCCTAGGCTTAGGGCTGTCCCTAAACTTTTTTGCTCAAGGCCAGTGCTCTACCATTTGAAACACAGTTCCATTTCTGGCTCTTTGGTGGTTAATCAGAAATAAGACTCTCGTGGACTTCCTTGCCTGGACTGGCTTCCGAGCCACGATCCTCAGATCTCAGGCGCGTGAGTAGCTGGGAACACAGGTATGAGCCACCGATGCCTGGTTGATAGTGTTTTTTTTTTTTTATAATACTGAACTCACACCTGATGGACAAAACAAGGAATGAAGTGTATTTATCCTACCTTTCTTATTCCACAGCATTGTAACCTTATCAGCTTTAAAGAAACTTTTATTGGCCAGTGCTGCGTGAGGTCCAGTGAAGTTGGGGTACTGATACAATCTCACAAACGAAGGTGCTCCTTTACTTCCCGGAACACAGACAGCTACCTACGACACACAGACAAGTCACCCTTCACCTTTTAGAAGCACACACATTCAGAAGGGTGGAGGAAAGGGCTGTGGCAGTTACCTTGTAGGGGTGGGGTCCAGGTGACAAGACAAAATCATTAACTTTCTGCAGATGCAACTTGTTTGCAATTGTGTCTAAACAGAGAGAGAGAGTGGTGTTAGACTCAGAAGCGGTGAGAGCATGACGAACTAAATGCATGAAGAGGCTGCCACAACCACACGGGCACTGCCTGCTGAGGCAAAGCCACACCGTGGGAAGCGCACGGGGCCAGACTCGAACCCGTCGCCTACTGCGGTGTGAGCCTCTGGCTGCTGGTGAGTGGCCCTGACTGGTTAAGACACAATGCAGTGCTCATAACCATGACGGACGGACACGTTCTAACAAGGGTAGCATCGAGGTTAGGATGGCCGACATGTACCCTAGGGACTCAGAACCCCAGTTATGAACAATAGTATGACCTTGGTAAGTTGAAGAACACTTAATTCCATTTCAGAGGTCAATGGGCAGGGGTTCAAAAGTAGCACCAGACGCTGCCCAATGAATGACTCTGTCCTGTGGCCAGCGACCAGAAGAGACAAGTATCTGGATCTGAAAATAATCGAGGGGTCTCAAAAGAGGGAAAACGGGCCACAGCTGCTCACAGCTGGCCTGCCAGCCACCCCTGGATCACATAACCACAGTGCTCAACTCCTATTCAGCCGTAAGACACACACACACACGTGCAGGCAGTTCCTTCATTTTCCATTACTGTGTACTGGTGTCAGTATTTTCATTTTCTAAGCTTACATGTGGCTAGTGTGGAATAAAGCAAATGAGGTTCCCAAACCATCACCCTGGGTACTAAAGACACAGGGGTTCTTGACAAAAGGTCAGGCAGGTAAGGTTAAATAACTGGCCTTACTGTTTAATTTAAACACGTCAGTGTGTCATGATGCCACAGCTTTACAGAAATGAGAAAAAGCATAGGAGACGATGATCACGGTAGCAGCAGTGAGGCCGCTAGACATGAGCCCCTAACCCCATCTTCCCTGGAAAGGAACTGGGGTTTCCTGGAGAAGCAGCCGATTCTAGGTACACATTAGCAAACACACAGAGCGAGCCTGGAATGGTTTGTTACTATATACAGCAAATAAGCCATTAAAGGCTAACTGAGTATGAATGAGAAACTTTTAACATCAAGAAAGCATCTACATGCATGAGAACACATACATAAATCCCAAACTCAAAAAGACCGGAGAACAAATCAAATGGTTAGGACTAACATTATTGGAAACAACAGCTGTATTAAATTATAAGGGAAAAGAGTATTTGTCCTGCTTCTTGTATATAAATGTACAACGAGGCGACTGAAAATTGCCTTTGTAGAAGTGGCCCAGCTCGTAACTAAGCAGGGAGGGAGGGAAATGAAAACCTCACCAGTTTGCAGCCACTGAACATTAACACTAACCCTACAACATTAAGGAACAACACATCACATGCTTGTTGATAAAAGAACACCATCTTATAATGTGGTCTGGCCCGCAACCACTAAAACAAGAACCTAAAGCTACCTACCTCTACGAGTATAGGGAAGAGATACGCATGGTAAGTTATACCATGGGATACAAAAGCAAAAGGAAAAATTATGCAAGATAATTAACCTGATACCAAGTAATAAATTACAATGGAGGAAAAAGATGGAGTAAAAATCCTAACATTAAAAGAAACGTAGGGCCGAGTGCTGGTAGCTTATCGCTGGCCTCCTACTTATGTATTTCCTGGTCAAATAATAGCCTGCTATTTATTTTAGCATAGCAAGGGCATGGAGACATGTGGATGAGAGCAAACTGATAGCTACTGATAGAAGGCGGACATTTTTGTATGTGAGAAGATACGGGAAAAAAATTGTGCCACAGAAAAATTGTGCTGGCAATAAGCACAGGAAAAGTGTCTTAATTTAACAGCCATTATCTAATGGCTACCGTAAAGCAAAGCTTTGTGTTAGGGACATTTCACTGGCATTGAGACTTACAAGAATTTATTCAAACAGTTAACGGCAACTATTGATTGTGAATAAGATCACAATATTTAGAACAACCTTAAGATGCATGTAATGAAAACTATACACACTTAAATTATTCAATAAATGTTTCCATACTAAAATTGTTGTTTTCAAAGAAGTGTACTTCATTGTTAACATTTCGTGCACAAATAATTTCATCATCTGACCAGGATGGACACCTATATCAAAAAGAAAAAGAGTATTAAAAAAAAGAAGTAGAGAGATTATAACATTAAAAGGTTGAAAATCTATGATACCGCTTATTTTTAAGGAAAACAGTATGCTATCAAATCTGTTACTTCATCATTTTATAAAACAGTGTCTAATAGAAATACATTACTTCTTTCTTTTTCAAAAACAAAGCAAATGAAAGATATTTTAACATTAGATTCCTATACGCAAAATCTTTAACCATCTAGATTTTGGTCTAGTTTCAAAATCAAAACAAGAAAATAACTATCCCATGATGATATAAGCCATTGTGTGAATACTTGGTACTTTGAAGCATAGACTGACCAACTTTGCATTTTTTTCTGTATGAAGGACTTCAAACACGCCCCATAATGATATAAGCCATTGTGTGAATACTTGGCACTTGGAAGCATAGACTGACCAACTTTGCATTTTTTTCTGTATGAAGGACTTCAAACACGCCCCATAATGATATAAGCCCTTGTGTGAATACTTGGTACTTGGAAGCATAGACTGACCAATTTTGCATTTTTTTCTGTATGAAGGACTTCAAACACGCCCCATGATGATATAAGCCCTTGTGTGAATACTTGGCACTTGGAAGCATACACTGACCAAC